ATTTCCCTGTCTGGGCATTTTATGTAAACAGAATAATACGATATGTGGTCCTTTGTGGTTGCCTCAGTAGGGCATTTTCAGATGTGGAATTGTTCCCTCATATAATAATGTTTTACCGTTTGAGGAACTGTCAGGCTGTTTTCCAAGGGGCTGCCCTGTCTATATCAGCAGCACATGAGAACTCATTTCTCTAGCTACATCCCTGCCAACACCCTATGTTGTCTTTCTTATAGGCTATGAAATAGCATCTTTTCATAGACTTGATTCGTATTTCCTTGATGACAAAAGACGTTAAATAGCATGTCCTTATTGGTCATTGTATATGTTCTTTGAAAAAAAAATGTGTTGTCAGTCAGGTGTGGTGGTACATGCCTTTAACCCCAGCAGAGGCAGACAGATCTCTGTGAGTTGAAGGCCAGCCTGGTTTCCACGGTGAGTTCCAGGCCAGCCAGGGATATATAGTGAAACCCTCTTCCTCTCTCACACACACAGAGTCTCCTCAGAATCTGCCCATTTTACAATGGGTTTTACTGACAGCATAAGTACTTTCTGTATCCTGGGTGTCTGTCTCCCTTATCTCTGATTGGAGAAGTTCCTCCAGTCTCCTGAGGCCTCTTTACACTTCTTGGTAATTGAAGGGTCAGTCTCTGCTCAGATGGAGTCACTAAAAGTCAGGGAAGAGTCAACACCTCCTGCGGCTGTTTGAGCAGACCTGAGTGTCTGGAACACCAGATGACTCATAATGGAGTCACAGCTAACTGCAGACCCTCTAATTTGGCACCAAAACCCAGAGCGTTGCCTGCTTCCTGCCCTTTGTCTGAAAACACACTGCCTGGACATACTGAGCCCTCCCCCCCACTTTCCCCAATATCCTCACATAACAGGGGTTGTGTGTCATTCGGACAGATTGGACAGCAACTTGATAATATGACCTTAACTGATTGGGTAATGTATGTATATATGCCAGTGAACATACACATTAAACCAGATCTGCACATCGATGCTGGTCTCTGGCGTCTGCTTCCATGGAAACTTGTCATGGCTTTTTCTCCCTCCCCCCTACAGCCACCTGTGAGAGGGAGCAAAACCACACAGGTAATTCCTTTTGAACATGAATTTTTAGTGTTGATGAAGTCTAGTCTATCTATTATTGTGTCATCCTTGTATGCTTTCGGTATTCTATCTAAGAAAACTGCCTAAGCCAAGATCATGACTCTTACTTCCATATCCTAAGACCAGAGAGTTTTTAGTTCTTACATTTAGGCCTATGATTCCTTGAAACAGACTCTTCCGCTTTCAAACTTTATTTGGTGTGTGTGCCCTCTTGCATGTGCTTGCATCATGAACATGCAGGGATAAGAGGGCACTCTGCAGAGCTCTGTTCTTTCCTTCCACCTTGCAGGTCCTAGGGATTGGACTCAGTTCGTCAGGTTTGGTGGCAAGTGTCCTTGCACACTGAGACATCTTTCTGGCCCTAAAACAGACTTTTCTTACCTGAAAATAATAGAAAAATAGAAATACTTAGACATAATCTTTTGAATTTCACTGTTCTTGACCTTATTATCCTTGGATATTATAAACACTCCCTGTGATCAATAGTGTAGCTCATCATGGAGGGGAGTCTCCAAAGACATGCTGGTATTCACCAGCAATCCTCCCCAATTTCTCCTATCACTGAATAAAGGTCAGATTCCCAACTAAAATTCCCAACCAGTTTGAGAATTATTGCATAGTGTCATGTAGCTATGAGAGTCTCTTTTTGAAAACTATTGCATAGTGTCATGTAGCTATGAGATTCTCTTTTTCCATTCTTTTTTTTGAAAAAGGGCCTCTGTAGCACAGAATGGCCTAAACTCACCCTCACACAAGAGCATTGTGACAACGCTCTTGCCTCAGGCTCTAAGCACTGAGATTACTGACCTGAGTCACCATACCTAGCTCTTTATCTAACAAGGGCTACCTATATGTGATATATGCATGTTCGCATGTGCACATAAGTGTGTATGTGCTGTGTATGTTCGTGTTTGCACTTGTGCACATGTGGAAACTAGAGGTTGGTATTGGATGTCTTCCTCAGTTACACCCTGCCTTATTTTGAACAGGGTCTCTCTCTTTCTTGAACCCAGAGCTAGCCACCTATCCTAGGAATCTCCTGTCTCCACCTCCTGAGCACTAGGATTTACAAAGTGGCCTCCACGTCTGTCTAGCATTTTTGAGGCTGGATGCTGGAGACTTGGTTCACTGTTCTCTTGGCAATGATTTAAAGGATTATCTCTACCAAATTCAGCACTTTTACCTCTTCATCTTCTAGTCTCCACATTCAAGCTCGGCTTGTCACTTTTATGGAAACCGAAAGTTCCTTTCATTATGTCTCAGGTCCATATAATTCATGGGGACTTCTGGCTGAACCCTGTCTGTCCACACCTGATACTCTGTATCCTTCCAGGATGGCAGAAACATGTCTCTTGATCTGACTGGTAGTCACATAAGTACACACATATGTAAGAATTTACCAAACTGTGCAGTCAAGATCTGTGTACTTACTGTATGCTTAAAAAATTTACATCGAGGCAGGTGGATCTCTGTGAGTTTGAGGCCAGTCTGGTCTACAGAGCTAGTTCCAAGACAGGCTCCAAAACAATAGAGAAACCCTGTCTTGAAAAACCAAAAGAAAAAAAAAATATAGCTGAGTATGGTGTGCCTTTAGTCCCAGCACTTGAAAGGCAGAGGCAGGGGGCTGGAGAGATGGCTCAGTGGTTAAGAGCACTGTCTGCTCTTCCAGAGGACCCTGGTTTAATTCCCAGTACCCACAAGGCAGCTCAGGATCCAGCACCCTCATAAAGACATGTCTATAGGCAAAACACCAATAAGATTAAAATTAAAAAAAAAAAAATACCAGATGATCATTTTACTGAGCGGTGGTGGTGCACGCCTTTAAACCCAGCAGCACTCAGGAGGCAGTCAGGCAGATCTCTGTGAGTTCAAGGCCAGCCTGGTCTACAAAGTGACTTATGAGTTCCAGGATAGCCAGAGCTGCTACACAGAGAAACCCTGCCTCAAAAAAACAAAATAAAACAAATAAACAACAACAAAAAAAGTGTGTGGAGGGGAGGCCCTGGAGTGATGGCTCAGAGGTTAAGAGCACTGGCTGGTCTTCCAGAGGTCCTGAGTTCAATTCCCAGCAACCACATGGTGGCTCACAACCACCTATAATGAGTGCTCTCTTCTGGCCTGCAGGCAGACAATTGTATATATAATAAATGAACAAATCTCTAAAAAAGAAAGAAAGGCAAAAGTAGACATATCTCTGTAAATTTGAGGTCATCCTGGTCTACATAGCAAGTTCTAAGACAGAAGCAGAGAAAATAACGAACCCTGTCTAAAAACAAAATGAAACAAAACTTTAAAAGATAGAATGGATGGTAAACTACCTGAAACTGAGTGACCCATCTTGCTGAAAATAGAATAAAGGCATATCAGTCACTTGAGAACATTAAATTATGGAAATCTAGAGTTTCTCTTCCAGTGGGCCATTTAAATAGTAAATTATTTGCACACTACTCAGCTATCCTCGTAGAAGAGCACACAAAAGCTTATTTTGTTTTTTTTCCCCATATGTATGGTGTAAGTACATGTTTACATGGGTTTGGGCAGATGTTCCTGTGGAAAGCAGAGGCTGACATTAGGTGTCTTCCTCATGCTAGACTTTATTTACTGAGGCAGGGTCTCTTGATGAACCTTCAGGGATCCAGTGTCTCCCTCCAAAGTGTTGCAATTAAGAGTAGTCAGAGTAGGCAGGTCCCCATGCCTACTTAGCTTTTTCTGTGCATGTTGGGGATCTGAACTCTGGTCCTCATGCTTGCACAGCAAATGCCTTACCCACTGAGTCATCTTTCTAGACCCCATACAAAGCTTCATGATATGAATACATGGCCTGATCAGTAAAGTTAATGAGTGAAGTTCACTTTAAGCAGTTTAACCACATCTTTGAAAAAGAATTTTATTATGATCTGGAGAGATGGCTCAGAGGTTAAGAGCACAGACTGCCCTTCCAGAGGTCCTGAGTTCAATTCCCAGCAACCACATGGTGGCTCACAACCATCTGTTATGAGATCTGGTGCCCTCTTCTGGTGTGCAGATATACATGGAAGCAGAATGTTGTATACATAATAAATAAATAAAATCTTTAAAAAAATTAATTTTATTATAAACTATTATAAAGTTGAGCATAAGTCAAGTGGTGGTGGCACCCACCTCTAATCCCAGCAGTGGGGAGGCAGAGGCAGGCAGAGTCCAGCCTGGTTCACAGAGTGAGTTCCAGGACAGCCAGGGCTACACTGAGAAATCCTGTCTCCAAACAAACAAACAAAAATGAAAAAAAATTAAGGTGAGTATAAGAGAAATACAGTTAAAACATATACAATTTTATTATAAGCTATTACATGATAAATGTAATTCCCAGAGCTGGCAAGCAGCTGTTACCAAACCTGACTAGAGTTTGATCACAAGGCCCCACATGGTTGCAGCAGAAAGCTGCTCCCTGAAAGCTGTCCTCTAACCTCTGCTGCTACCATTACAAGCACATGCCCTTGCTCCCACCAATAAATAAATTAAAAATGGGGGTGGGATCCAGGCATGGTGGCACATGTCTTTAGTTGCAGCACTTGGGAGGCTGGGGCCAGCAGATCTGAGTTCAAAGGCAGCCTTAAGTTTTGGGCCAGTCATGGCTGCATAGTGAGACCCTGCCCAAAAATAAATAAATAAATAGGGGGGAGTTAAAAAAAATAAAAAAGAAAGAAAGAAAGAAAGAAAGAAAGCAACTCCAGAGCCAGTGTGGTAGTGCACCTGTAATCCCAGCACTTGGGAGGCAGAAACAGGAAGACTGCCACAAGTTCAAGGCCAGCCTGAACTTCATGAAGAGTTGGAGGCTAGACAAGGATATAGCAAGACATTGCCTCAGATAAAATCTAAAAACAAACAAAAAATGCAATCCCAACTCATAGAATTCAAAGTAATTCTTTATTGACAAACATTTATACTAGCATTAGAAATGTCAGTAGAAAAATAAAATTTAAGTAAGTTTCTAATGTACAAAGATTTGATCACTTGGACTATAGGAATTAAGTGCAATAACCTAATATAAAAAGTTGAGCTGATTTTGGTCATAACCAGCCTTACATAGTACACAAGAAAGAAATACAACTTCACAAAACCTTCTGCACATGGACCACTAATGACGCAGGGCTTCACATTCCAGGAAACAGTTCCTTAGGGAAGTTTGGCATGCCCTGCAGTGTCACAAGGACTTACTGAAAACCAGAGCAGTCAGGACATTGGAATCAAAAGCTAACATACAATTTAAAAACCTAAAGGACACGGGAAGGATGCCATTATTTGCACGAACTGATTCTCATTACTCCCAGCATTAAGTCCTAAGGAGTATCTTGCTCCAAAGGAAGTTAACAGCCCAGGGACACAGATTATTCACATAATAATCATTGCACTTTTGTACATGAACTTAATTTTTACCCCCAAATTCACCAAGGAATCAAGAGATCAACTTTTTGGTTGGGAGTTGCCTCCCTATCTCAGAATTTAAAAAGAGGGGGTGAGAAGCAGAAATATAAATTCAGGAATCAGGGTCCAAGAAAGTCCTTATCTAGAGAAAACTACTGAAGAAATTGTATAAGGTGATGTGTTGAACACAAATCATGGCAAATTAATAAATCTGCATTTGAGACAAGAGACAAGAGGAAGAAGACAAACAGGGATCAAAGTGGAAAGCATTCTTTGTTTAGCACTCAACTGGTTTCTCCCTGAAAGCACTCAGTCTGTAGAGTATACATTTATTCACAAAAGAATGCTTCACAGGCATTGAGATAGATGAAACACTCAGTAATTTGAAGATATATTTTACAGTTCAAGTTTTTGTTTTTTGTTTTTAAAGAGCAGATAAAACATAAGAAACAGATGGAAACAAACACACTCTAACTTTTGTGTCTTGGTTAAATTGTTAAAATAATTTAACATTTTAATCATGGATGAATATGTTCAGAAGTTATTAGTTAGGGGGGAAAAGTCCGCCACTCATTCATCTATGTGCTTACTGTGTGAAATTATATCCCAAGGAATGGTTAGCAAGCACTCCAAGGCGTCCTTCAGTAGACCCTTCCGTAGATGATGCTGTCATCTCCCAGATTGCAGGGTACAACGTTCCAATTTCTCTATCTGAAAGGATCTTTTCCCAATTCACAGCCCCTGAGACAAAAATGGAAATCTTGCCAGGCGGTAGTGGCGCACACCTTTAATCCCAGCACTCAGAGGCAGATAGGCAGATCTCTCTGAGTTCCAGGCCAGCCTGGTCTACAAAGTAAGTTCCAGAATAGCCTCCAAAGCCACAGTGAAACCCTGTCTGGGGGGTGGGGGGGGGAGCAACAACAAAAAAAAAAACAGAAAATCTTTTGTTGGAAGAAAGATTTGCTTTTTTTTTTTCTGGGGAATATTAAGGGCCATTTATCTGCACTTTAATTGCCTACTAATTTGAATTGTCACTACAGTTTTAACAAGTGGTGGTCAAAAAGAAAGAGCCAATTATTTTTGTGGCCACCCTTGCAATTTCCCCCGCTGCCATTCCTGGGCAAAATGACCCTTTGGGCTACTTTATCTCATTTTAAAAACTAAGTGTGTGTGTGTGGGGGGGGAGTGGCAGGGAGCATGTGCACATAAATGCAGGTAACCACAGAGGTCCTCTTGTTGACTTAAAAAAACGTTTTAGCCGGGTGTTGGTGGTGAACGCCTTTAATCCCAGCACTCGGGAGGCAGAGGCAGGTGGATCTCTGTGAATTCGAGGCCAGCCTGGTCTCCAGAGCGAGTGCCAGGATAGGCTCCAAAGCTACACAGAGAAACCCTGTCTCGAAAAACAAAATAAAACAAAATGTTTTAAATTACATGTATTAACTTATGTGTGCATGTGAATACCATGTGGAGGTCAGAGGACAATTTGCAGGGGCTGGTTCTCTCCTCCACCATGTGGGTCCGGAGAATCAAGCTCAGGTCAGAGATAAGTACCTGATGAACTGTCTTGCCGGTCCCCTCCTGACTATTTTTAACCAGAAACTGAAAGCATATTACTTGAAGATAAATTTATGCCCTCATAGGCTGTCAGCCTTAATCTCACAATGAAAATTGTCCTTTAAAAATGTCAGAGTTGGCCAGGCGGTGGTAGCGCACACCTTTAATCCCAGCACTTGGGAGGCAGAGGCAGGCAGATCTCTGTGAGTTCGAGACCAGCCTGACCTACAAGAGCTAGTTCCAGGACAGCCTCCAAAGCCACAAAGAAACCCTGTCTCAAAAAACCAAAAGCCAGAGTTAATTACCAGAAGCTACTTTGACAACAGGTATCAACAAGAACATTGTACTTTATACAAAACCGTTAAAATGACAAAAGGCACATACCTTTTTACACCCCTTTCCCTTCTGAAGGTCACAGTTTGCAGGCCTTTCTAATGAAAACCAAAGTTAGGCAGTCGAGTTAAAAATTAAAATAGCTAAAAATAAGTTAAAAACTATGTCTCTTTAAGGATATAAATTCTCTTGAATAAAAATAAAAAGGCCAGAGGAGTTGTATATGAAAAGGAAGTTGTAGGCACTTTCTGGGAGTTGATACTCAAATACTGCAAAGTAGGCTGATTAGCCACTGACAGGTAAACACAGAAGGAAACCAATAACCACTAACTCATTTCAGAAGCAGTCTACAAGTTTTGGAGTCATCAAATAAACTAAAATCAGCAAGAAAAACTGTAACACTCTTGCAAGTGTCTTATTTGTGCCTGAACGTCCAAAGAGTATATGCTATCTGGTTTTGAAGTTCAACTCAAGCCACTTAAGAAAGTCTCTGTATTTCCAGAGAAAGTAAATCAAATGGATAGCGTTAAAGGTGACAGGTAAAGGTATCATGCATATGCTTTGGAAAAAGAGCCTTAATTAGGCATGATGGTGGTGCCTATTGTCCTAGCTACTCAGGAAGCTGGGGCAGGAGGACCACTTGAGCCCAGGAGTTTGGGTCAGCCTGGGTAGCAAAGCAAGACCTCATGTCTTAAAAAAGAAAAAGAAAGAAAGAAAGGAAGGAAGGAAGGAAGGAAGGAAGGAAGGAAGGACAGAAAAGACATCTCAATTAGCTAGCTTATTTTGATCAAATAATAAATTCACATCTCTAAAAATATATTAAATAATCAGAGGTCAAGATAGTTATCCATAAAATGTCACATTGACAGTAGTCACCTACTTTTGACAGTGGAATTGGAGCTGTTACTTTGAATTATACTTCAGTTCTTCCTGTTAAGAGTCCACCAGTTTGTTCTCAGAGCGACACACCACCCAAACAAACTTGGCTTTACTGTGTTCCCTTCAAATTAAACAGCATTGTCCACTGTTTCTGTGAAACAGCAATGTTGCATTTTTGCAAATAATGATGCAAATTCTTGTTCGAAAGATGCAAACTTGAGGCATTGTTGGCTTAGGTGAAGATTGCATATAAAACTTAAGTGGCCACAAGAAAAGAAAGCCAAGGAGCTTGGTTTGGCTGAGAACGAGAGCTGTCTACAAGGGTCTTTGATTGCAGCTTCCAACTGAAGAAACAGCTGTGGTGTTCTTCCCATTCTTTGTGCCCCCAAGTTGCTTCCATTTGAGGAATGAAGAAACCATGACACTGCCCCTTCCTTTTGAGGAGTATAAAATGCAGGTGTGACATCACAGTGAACGGACATATGCTATAGGGTAGCCAAAACCCGCAAAAAAGAGACCACCACTACACAGAATGTCTGTCCAGTGCCCAGGGTGAGGGCTTCGAAGGGGATCATCTCCTTCCCTGCAGCTCGGTAAACCCCAGCAATCGCTGCACCTGGTTCAAATTGAATCATGTTAAAAGAGAAAAAAAAATTAATAAAACAAAATCTGAGATTAATGACATCACAAAAACGTACACTTAAAAATTTCACTGTTGGGAGACAGACTTTTTACATTTAATCATGAAAGACGTTTCATGCTCCCCGTCCTTTCTGGTGACCACACTGACTTTCTTTATGTGGCCTGCAAGTCAGCGTTTAGATTTGTGCTCCCTAAGACTGAGCACTTCTTACTGAGTGATCTGAGTGACAGTCAAGATGACAAGACAGCAATTCCGGACTTCTCTCTTCACTCCTGTGCCAATTAATCCCATGCCCATCATTGAACAGGCACCAAATACATTCTTGGTAATGAATGACAATCTACTGAGACAGATCAAGAAATGTTTCCGGGCCACAGGGACTCCCAGCTCCACCTTCCGTTATACTGAGGTTCCATGTGAGGAAGGAAGAAAGGAGTGAGAGAGCAACACAGGATTCTGAGCCATAAAGCCAGCTATTAAAAGGGCACCAGGGCAGAGAACTCAGGGTCCCTTCTGTTTCCCAGGTCACTGTTTTCCTTATTAGTCACCACAACCTCCTGTTGAGTGAAAACACAGCACAGAAACACCTGTGCGGACCCAGACACCCCCCCCCCATCTAACATTCTACACAAAAACCTGTGTGGGGGCTGGAGAGATGGCTCAGTAGTTAACAGCACTGACTGCTCTTCCACATGTCCTGAGTTCAATTCCCAGCAACCACATGGTGGCTCACAACATCTATAATGAGATTTGGTGCCCTCTTCTGGTGTGTAAGCATGCATGGAGAACACCGTATACATAATAAATAAATACAATCTTAAAAACAAACAAACAAACACCCTGTGTGGACCCAGCTACCCATCTGAGAGTCACAGAAACTCATAGAACATAGCTGACTCAATCAAATATCTACAGGCAGGCTGGGGGTGTGGGTCAATGATAAAATACATGCTTAGTATGCCCAAGGCCATGGGTTCCATTCTCAGCACCCCAAAACGAAAGGAAGACTACACATTTTTAAACTGCGACATGAGATATTTTAATGTGTTTTAACAAGCAAACAGTGTTAGATATTTGACTTTGCCTCCAGTGGCAATCAATACCACTAATGTCTCAGAGGGCTTGCCATGGCACCTCTGTCACTGAGCTTCCTTGAAGAGGAAAAAAAAGAAAAAGCCTGAGGACTAATCAGCATTCAAAGATGGGGGGGGCGGGCAGCTCATCCCTGCTTTACTGATAGGAAACCAGTCCCAGAGGCCAGAAACTCTGTGGGTACTGCAGCCGTAAGTAACACAGTTAGAACACAGAAACTAGGCTACAGTGCCTCAAAAAAAAAAAAAAAAAAAAAAATGTCAAAGAGACCAATGCACATTTCTGCTCAGTGAGGGGTTTAAACTCACAGTGAAGCCGGGCAGTGGTGGCGCATGCCTTTAGTTCCAGCACTCAGGAGGCAGAGGCAGGCGGATCTCTGTGAGTTCGAGACCAGTCTGGTCTACAAGAGCTAGTTCCAGGGCAGCCTCCAAAGCCACAGAGAAACCCTGTCTCAAAAAACAAAAACAAAAAATAAAAAAATTCACAGTGAAAATAAAATAAAGTGACAAATTAGGAATGTTACATTCCTATGTTTTTATGATTATACATACATATATTTATATCCACAGCAAAATACAATCTGTGGCTGTTAATATACATATAATTTTTAATTTTATGATGCTTAAATTTTCATTTCTAGAAAATAATATGCTTCTATGAAATTATGAACTTAAAAGTGATTTAAGCTTATCATTTTGTTCCCTCTAATTGTGCTAGTGATATGAAACAAAAAAGATTAAAAAGAGAAGCAGGTTTGGGGCTGGAGAGATGGCTCAGAGGTTAAGAGCACTGGCTGCTCTTCCAGAGGTACTGAGTTCAATTCCCAGAAACCACATGGTGGCTCACAAGTATCTATAATGAAATCTTGTGCCCTCTTCTGGCCTGCAGGCATCATACATGCATGCAGACTGCTGTCTATATAATAAATAAGTAAATCTTAAAAATAGAAAAAGAAACACACCCTAAAGAGTGGAAGCAATTATCGAACCATTCTGCAAAGCCGAGTCAAGTCAAATTGGAACAAAAAGATGCTGAAGTTTCTGTGGCCAAACACTTCTATTTTGCTAGTGGCCTGTGGAAGCCAAAGAGATTAGCCAGGTAAGGGGCTTGAGAGTTTAAAAAACAAAGCAAAACCCCAAAAGGAATACATTTAAAAAAAAAAAAAATCCACACTTCAAAGCTCTTTAAAATTCGTTGTGTGTGTGCACACATGCAACACACACATACACACACTTTTTTCCCCTCCCAGTGCTAGAGACCAAACCCAAGGCTTTGTGCTCACTAGGCAAGCATTCTCCCACTGAGCTGACTTCCCACCCACCCCAATCCACCCTTATTTCTAAAATGAGGTGGCCAACCACATTCCAAGCTTTGGACTGGTATTTGAATGCTAACATACTTGTCAAGACTCCAGCAGAAATTGGTCCCACGATGCCCATCATCAGGATGCCTACAGACATGAACCTACCATATTTGTGATGTCTGAGGGTGAAGAGGGCCAGGAGTCCAGCAGGGACATGAAAGAAGACAGAAGACACAAGTGCCCACAGGAACACACCATACCACATCTCTGTGAGGGTAGAGAAAGGCAAAGCTGGAGTCACACCATCTTCCCCAGTGAGGTCCTTCAAGGGGCCCAGTCCCAGCCACTGCACCCATGAGTCCCATTCTCACTAGCATTTAGTTGTACTCTAGTGGGTTCTGCTGTAGGTGTTTTTTGTTTTGTCTTTTTTCTTTTTTTCTTTTGGTTTTGGGAAACAAGGTTTCTCTATGTAACAGTCTTGGCTGTCCTGGAACTCCCTCTGTAGACCAGGCTAGCTTCGAACTCACAGAGATCCACCTGCCTCTGCCTTCCAGGTGCACCATCACTGCCTGGAGTTTGTTTTGTTTTTAAAAATAGGGAACCCTTTTTTTTAAATTAGATTTATTCATTTTATTGTATGTGTAAGTGTTTTGCTTGTATGTATACATATGAATGCATGTATGTACACCATGTTCCTGCTTGTTGCTCATGGAGGTCATAAGAAGGCACTGGATCCTCTAGAACTGGAGTTACAGATGGTTGTGAGCCACCATTTGAGTGCTGGGAGTTGAACCTGGGTCCTTTGCAAGAGTAACAAGTGCTCTTAACATCCTAGTCATCTCCCCAGTCCCTTGTTTTTGTGAGACAGGGTCCCATCATGTGGCCTAGAATAGCCGTACTCATATGTATCTAAAGCTGGCCTTGAACTCTGAACCTCCTGCCTCCTTTGAGTTGGTATTATAGGCATTTGCCACTATGCCAGGCTTTACTGATGATGTTTAAAGGGCTCACAAACTACCACTCACAGCTCATCTCTTGTTTCTGTATTGAGGACTTATTTAAGCTCATCTGTAGCACTTGTAGACATTGTAGAACCCACGCTTGCTCACTAAGTCCTGTCTATGAAAGCTCTCCAGATACATGGGCAAGGCTGTTATCAGTGGCCAACACCATAAACCCACAGAGCTTAGAAGATGGAAGTCTTCAGGCACTTTAAAGAAAAAGTTGACCAACCAAACAGGTTACATTTACTGTCAAACTAGAGGGAGAAAAAAAGGCAAGGCAATCTAGTTATTAGGTCAAAAGACCTAAATGATTTCTTGACTATGCTAACACAAGCCAATAAATATCTACAAAGTGAAACTGCTTCAAAATAAGTAAATAAATAGCAATTTTACCATCTCCTATTAATTAGAGCATCAAAAACTCTTTAAAATGTAAAATGAAAGCCTGGTCTGGCAGTGCAGGCCTGAATGTCTGCACTAGGGAGACAGAAACAGAAGGCTTATGAGTTCAAGACTAACCTAAGCTATATAGCAAGACCTTGTCTCAAAAAACAAGAACAAAAAAAACCAAATGTCTGGGTGGCTTGAACACAAATGGCAGGTAAGTGAAAAAGAAGGCTAGAAGAGCTGGGTGTGAACACACCTGTAATCCCAGCACTTGGGAAGTGCAGGCATGAGGCTAGAACTTCTAAAGTCATCTTCTGGGGCTGGAGAAATGGCTCAGAGGTTAAGAGCACTGGCTGCTCTTCCAGAGGTTTAGAGTTCAATTCCCAGCACCCACATGGTGGTTTACAACCATTTGTCATTAAATTTTGTGTCCTCTGCTGGCTTGCATGGATACATGCAGACAGAAAGCTGTACACATAATAAATAAATCTTTAAACAAACAAATAAAACAAACAAAAACAACAACAAAAAAAACCAAAGTCATCTTCTGCTAAGTTTCAACTTGGAGGCAAACCCCTGTCTCAGGTAAAACAAAACAGAGCTGGCTCCTATGGAGAACCACTATTCTTTTGTTTGTTTTTTTAGACAGGGTTTCTCTGTATTGCTTTGTAGCCTGTCCTGGAACTTGCTCTGCAGACTAGGCTGGTCTCGAATTCACAGAGATCTGCCTGCCTCTGCCTCTCAAGTGCTGGGATTAAAGGCATGTGCCACCAATGCCCAGCTCTGTTTGTTTGTTTTTTTGAGACAGGGTTCTTCTGTGTAATAGTCCTGGCAGTCAAGGAACTTCCTTTGTAGATGAGGCTGGCCTCTCGTATTTACAGAGATCTGCCTGTCTCTTCCTCCCAAGTGCTGGGATCAAAGGTTTGTTCCATCACCACCCATCGAACCATTACTCTTTTAAGATTTATTTTTAACTATGTGTATGTGTGTCAATATGTGCACTTGTTACATGGAGCCCACAGAGGCAAGAGGTGTCAAATTCCCCTGAAGCTGGAGTCACAGGCGATGGTCAACCACCTGATATGGGCACTGGGAACCCAACTTGGGTTCTCTGTAATAGCAGCAAGTGCTCGAACCCTGAGGGATCTGTCCAGACTTCAACCTTCAATCTTAAGATAACTCTAATTCAGATATTAACACACACACACACACACACACACACACACACACACACACACACACACTTACTTTCTGATGCTAGACATGGAACCCAGAGCTTCACGCATGCTTAGCACACACTGGCCAATAGTACTCAGTTCCCAGGTCTCCACAGAGACCAAACCAACCTGATCAAACATCACTGGCTTGACTGAAGCAGAATGTTTACAACAACACTGACAATGACAGTCACACAAGTGGATGGATTTCATCATGAGGAGCTCAGGTCTACATATGAAGTGTCCCTCTCAGGCTCAAACACTGAGGGCTTGGTCTCTAGCCAGTAGTGCTATCTCAGGAGATGGTGGAAAATAGGAGGTGGGGACTAGATAGAGGAAGTGTGTCGCTAAGGGTGGGTCCCTGACTTCTTCCTAGCCTGCTTCTTGGCTGCCACTGGGCAAGCAGCTCTGCTCCACCAGGCCATGGTGCCTCAACACAGGCCCAAAATTAGTGCATCCAGCAGACAACAGACAACATGTGGTCTCTGAAACCTTGAACCTAGGTCTTTGAGGGATGGATGACTTTTTAAAAATATTTATTTAATTTGAATGGGTGCTTTACCTGTATGCATGTGTGCAACATGCCTGGTACCCAAGGTGGCCAGAAGTCCCTGGTACAGGAGTAACAGCTGGATGGGAGCTGTCATGTGGATGCTGGGAATTGAACCTAGGTCCTCTGGAAGCGCAGCCAGTGCTCTTAACAACTGAACCGCCTCTCCAGACCCCTGGGTGATTCTTCAGAAAACCTCACAGATGCCCCATCTGGGGCTCAAAGCCTGTTGAGGATAACTAATAACCGACAGTGTTTGGTCTGGTGACTATCAGACAACTACAAAGGGTGCCAAAGCTTTCACAGGGACTCACACCATAGTCCCCAACACTTAGGGAGCTGAAGCAGAAGGATCACTATTAGTTGGAGGTCAGCCTGGGCCACAGATACTGTCACAAAACAAAGCAAAGCAAAATAAAACAATTAAAAAAAAAAAAAAACCTGTCAAACCATTTTTGAGATTTTTTTTTTTTTTCTGCTAGATTCCCATCACTCTTGAAACTATAACTGCTAAAATACGGGGCCTGAGGGAAAGTTCTGTGAGGACTCTAAGAAGGCTGCTGCCCCACAGTGAACAAATGAATGTGAATCCACCTCCAGGAACTTACAGCAGTAACCACCCAGTTATGGTCCAGCACCACAAGGATGAGAATACCACTGACCTGAGGCTGGACCACTCTGTGCTGCTGCAGTGGGCGCTTCTTACTGGCTGCCCAGATCATGTGTGGTGAACATGGAGGCGAGCAGTGCCCTGATTCACCAGAGACAAAAAAGAGCTAGTAATTCCCTCATATGTGAGTCTAGCCTAGGTGTGGGTTGAATTGTTTTAACCCATATTCACACTAAATTTGAGAGCACTATTTTTGAGACAGGGTTTCATTATGTAGCCCAAGCTGACCTGGAACTCATACAGATCCGACAGCCTCTGCCTACTGAGTTCTGGGATTAAAGGTGTTCATCACCTTTAACTGTCTTATAAGAGGGAGATTACCCTCCCCCCACACACACACACCTTCCCCCACAGTAACAAGGAAGCTGCCTGAAAGGCAGGAAGTAAGTCCTCACCTTTACCTGACCCTGGTTAGCACCCAGATCTGACTTGTGGGCTCCAGACCCAAGGAAACAAGCGGCTGATTAAATGTCTAGCCTGTGGAACTGCTTTACAGCAGCCTGACTGAGACACCTACATACTCACTCATTGCTGCTTCCCTTGGAGCACAGCACCTTCCTAGGGAGGGCTACCAGGGTCCTGTTGACACCATTCTGGGCTGAGAGGCAGCAGCACACAGGGATGTACCACCCCATCACACCCTGAGCCACCTGTGTTAGCTACTCCAGTGCCCATGTATAGTGCTACTTAAAACACTGTGAGGGGAAAGAAAGGCTTTATTACATGAAATGAGTAGTTTATAAAAATACTCTCAGGGTAATTACAACACTTTAAAAGCTACAGCAAACTGAGATCTATAAAACACTTTAAAAAAAAAAAAAAACTAAGTGATTTCTTTTTAATCTACTGCACCTCAATTTACCAACTGTTTAATGGCTATTTATTGATCGATGTGGAGTTCTTTTCATTCCCCTGGCTCAACACACGGTCAAAAATGTTTCCCTGTCTTACATTTCCTGTTCACTACTTCAAATGCAGCGCATTATCAGCTGTGTTTTCCTTGGCAGCTCTATTGTTGGGTTTTCTGCTGCTGTAACACAATCTTTTTGGCTCAAGGTTCTGTAAGCTGGGAAGTCCAAGACTGAAAGGCCATATCTGTGAGGGCCTTCTTTTTATTTTTTCCTTTGTGTGTGTGTGTGATCACATGTATATGGGCACATGTGTGGAGGCAGAGATTGCCATTGGGTGACTTCTTTGATTGCTCTCTTCCTTATATTTTGAGGCACAGTCTCTCACTTGAATGCAAAGCTCACCCATTCAGATAGTCTAGCTAGCCAACTTGCTCTGGGGAATCCCTTCTTCACCTCCCAGATGCCAGGTTTACAGGTAGGTCACCATGACCACACGACATCTATGTTGATACTGGAGATCCAAGCTCTGGTCCTGGTGGTATCAAAGCCCTGGGTTCAATCTTGAGATATATATATATATATATATAT